GCCCCCCGCGGGGTCCCCACTAGCGGCCCCCGCCCCGCCGCGCAGAAGCGAGCAGCCCGGGGGCCAGGCCCAGCTCCGGAAAAGCTCTGTGGCTTTTAGAGTGGGCGGTGGGGACGGAGACTTGAGCGGTGCATCCCCCCACCACCACCTCCGGAACGCAGCGGGGAGACCCGCACCGTCAGGCCGAGCCCGCTCTGGAAGCCAGGTCACCAGCAATGCTGCCTCCCCACCCAATAAAGAAACAAGAGACCGCGAAGGACAACACAAAGGGAATTAACTGCTGCCCCCCTCCCCATTTACAACTCCCCGTACACAGATGGACGACGAGTTGGCTCTAGCCTAACCAAACTCCACGGGAACTCGGCCCATGCCCCAAAGTTCGGAGCACACTTGCCTTCCCTCCCGCTCCTGTGTGGTTCAGTTCCTTATGTCGCTCACCTCCACAAAATATCCCTATTCCCTGGCTACCAGTTTGAAGAACCCTCTTCATTTAAAGAGTGCATTCTCGGGGCGCTTGGGTGGCTCAGTCGTTAAGCGTCTGCCTTCGGCTCAGGTCATGATCCCAGGGTCCTGGGATGGAGCCCCGCATCGGGCTCCCTGCTTGGCGGGGAGTCTGCTTCTTCCGCTCCCTCTGCCTGCCGCTCCCCCTGCTTGTGTTCTCTCTCGCTCTGTCAAATAAATAAAATCTTTAAAGAGTGCATTCTTTCCTCATGGAGGTAAGAATGGGTGTGCCTACTATGTGCCCAACCCTAGATCCAGCAGGAGAGAGAATCCCTACCCTCAAAGGGCTTCCACCCTAAAGGGTGAGAATGGCTGATCAGGTTTGCATTCCTTGTATAATGAAAAGCTGCACTGTTTGATTTTTTAAATCAAGGGTACAAGTCCAGCGCAGGAATCTGTAGACATTAGCTGGTACCTCTGATGGAAGTGTCAGGAGGAGAATCCTGCCTGCATTATAAGAGTGCACCACAGACACGTGGAGCCACACAGGGCAAGAGGCAGGGACTGTGGGAAAAGTGAGGCCCGCTTCAACAGGAAGCGCAGAGCCAGGCCAGCGCAGCCTGTAGTTCTCATACAGGTGTTGCTTAGGTTGGGAGGATGACTGGGAATTTGGAGTGGCAGAAGGCACAACCAGATGTACTTTCTTCAGTGGAACACAAAGTATGTGGGGGAGGGGATGGGGGGTTGGGCCACTGAAGTTGTTCAGTCTGAAGATGACACCAGCTTTCCGTTGTGGTTGGCAATGGTACATGAACTAGATGGCCACATTTGGAAGGCAGCACCAAAAAGTTCCTCAACTGGATGCAGAACATGACAGTACTTAAGAATGGCAGGGAGGTTCTTGGCTGCCTGCACTAAGATTGGGAGACTGAAGGAAGACTAGACTGGAAAGGGGGGGGGGGGGTGATGCAAAAACTTGCCTTGGGGATGTGATGTGAGATGCCCACTGGATGGTCAAGTGTGGACGTCAAGTAGGCAAATGTATGGGCAAGCTGAAGGCCAAGGGAGAAGCCCAGCCCAGCCAGCAGGAACCCCTCATGACATCACTGGGGGACAGAAACCATGTGAGGCAGTCAAAAATCCACCCATTAGAGCCAAGGACATCATCGTCAAAGCAGTACCCTAAGTCCCTACGATGGGACCTGGACAGGTGGCTTATCCTTAGACTTGGAAGAACTTCTTTAAGCACCAAGCTCTTCAGCTCCCTTACTATGTTATTAGTGTTTGTAGGTAGTCCTTCCATGGGGACTAACCAACCAGCAACTCAGACAAGTGTTTTGTTGTTTTGTTTTTGAAGTCTCAGCACTGTGTATGTGGGGGGGGGG